GTACCTTAGAGGTTCACTGGTTAACTTATGGCAAAACACTTGAGCTGTCAAACTTCAAGATAATGTACGAATTTATCTTTTACCAAAAGACAAGTGTTTCAAATGCCCTGACCTTTTCTGTGATGTCAAGTAGCTGTCAATAGTATGTTACCTAGCAGATATAATTTTTAAAAGGCACACCTAATCTGTGTCTCCTGCTGTTTTTTAAAAAAATGAATGAGAAAGTAGCTGCTTTTCAAAAGAAAGTTGTGGTATAGAGAAAGCATTTTGAAAATAGATATTTGGAAATGCTTCCATCTTTTTGTGATTTTGTTGCCAAAAACGTCACCTACAAAAACTTGTAATTTCAAATATAAAAAAGTTGAAAATAGACTTTTCTAATAACCTGTTTAAAAATCTTCCAGAGAGTTTCAGTGGGTTTTGAATTCATTCATTACATGTATTAATATTCAGTACCTTACAATTTTTAAGAACAACTGAATAACATCAGGGAAGCGGGAAATCCACTATATTATTTTTAATAACAACCTTTGCATTAATTGGTGGGTGTAACTGAAAAATGAATGTCATGATTTATTGAAGTCAACCGCTTCTATTTGGATCTAATTATCTTTGTGAGGTATCATTTTAGCTATGACAGCCATTAAAACCAAATTTTAAAAAATAAAATTAAAACAGATAACTTGAATTTAATAAATAAAAATTGAGATAATCTGAACTTAGAAATGGACCTTTAAATTGCTGTTATTACAAATAGAAAAAAACCACATTCCATAACACTGCTCTCATTAAAATAAGAATAATAATTTTTAATATATAAACTTTTTTGGAGTACAAGCACCCATTGCTAGTGGGTTACATGATCAAAAAAATTTAGAGACCAGTTCTCTCTGCTAACTTGATGTAGATATAGTGATACACACATGTATGCAGGAATTTCTTTTTCCCTCTCTCTCTTTATTTGTATACAGATGTACATGGATAGTTTTCCTTCTTTCCCATTGAAAAATGCTTTTGAGTTAGATAGGCAAGACACCTAGTAAAACATTCTTCCCAACCTTTTTAAAAGGTGTCCTCAATCCCTGTCCAGGAATCTGTCATTCTTTTACTTTAAATTGTGATCCAAAAGTTAAAATCTTTCCTCAGACAGCAACTTGTTAACCATCTGGTTACTTCTTAAACCAGTTTCTCTCTTCTACATCTTTCGCTTTCAACATACAATGAGAAAAACACAACTTATGCTCCTGTAGTCTTCAGCTTCTTGCCCTACATTTCATAATCTTTGGTAATTCTTTTTAGTCCTTTCCAGCAATATCATTTGTGCCCAAACAAACACTGAAGTGACTGCATGTGCACTGGGATACAAAGAAAAAAAAATAATCTTTGTCATTGCGCATACACAAACTACTGATGAAATCAGGCAAGGCTTGAAGTAGGTGACACTAGGGTGAACCTTAAACAATGACAAGGATTCTGGGATATAGAGATGAGGAAGGAGTGGACTCCAGGCTTGTGTAAATATACAGTCAAGAGACCGAATGTTGAATTCAGGAATAACTAGTAATCTAGTGTGGACAGAAGGCAGAGGTCATGGAAGGGGATTGATGGGAAACAAGTCAAGAAAGGTAGGTTGGAGCTGGATTGTAAAGAAGGAAAACTCTTGGAGTGGACAGAGGGGTTGGAGTCAGAGAACTGGGTGTGGATCTCTGCTGTTACTTATTACTAGTGTAACTGGGCAAATAATTCCTTTGTACTCGTTTCTTTATCCATAAAAGGAAAGGTAAAAACAAAATGACTTCTGAGGTTCCTTCCAATTCTAAATCTGTGAAAAGCCCGACTGAACACTTTATATTTTATCCAAAAACAAGAGTTCTTACTCTTTTTTGTTGTTGTTGCTGTTTTGATCATGGAAAGCTTTGGCAATCTAAGTAAAGCCTTTGGACCCCTTCTTAGAATAATGTTTTTAAATGCATAATATACATAGGGTTACAAAGGAAATCAATTATGTTGAAATATCAATTTTTTTTTTATAAAAGTTCAGAATCAGGGCAGCTAGGTGGCACAGTAGATAGAGCACCGGCCCTGGAGTCAGGAGAACCTGAGTTCAAATCCAGCTTCAGATACATGACACTTACTAGCTGTGTGACCCTGGGCAAGTCACTTAATCCCAATGGCCTCACCAAAAAAGCAAAAAAAAAAAAAAATTCAGAATCCAGGTTAAAAACTTCTTCCTAAAGGAAATAGGGAACCACTGCAGGTTTTTGAATGGTGGTTAAGATGTGGTAAGACCTGTGCTTTAGGAAAATTATTTTGGAAGTTGCATTGAGGAAAGACTGGCAAGCTAAAAGAGTAGAAGGCTGGGACACCCATTTGAAAACTATTACAATAGTCTAGGTGAGAGATTATGAGAAACTGACTTAGGCTGGAGAGAGGGATGGATCAGAGAAACATCTTGGAGGTAGAAAAGAGAGTCATGTTTGGAGATAAGGGGGAGTGAGGCCACCTGTTCCTTCAACAGCGAATCCCAATCCCTGGCTACGTACTCATGCTTTTATCAGACTTTGTTAGGTGTTGAATGCCCTTACAAGTGGTCTTCAGGGCTCCCAACATCGCTAGATTCAAAATTGTTATCAAGATTATTGAAGGATCATGTCTCACTGAGGCTGGACAGAAAGGAAAAATAAGAGCGACCTTTAAATGGAAAGGATTGCTTTGTGAGGCAGTGGGCTCCACATCATTGGCTATTTTCCAGTAGAGGTTGGTTGATTGCTTTTGGTGGGGTGGTTTATCAGGGATCACCAGGAGACTATGGGTGGAATTTGATGCTCTTGTCAATTCTGATCCATCAGAGGGACAGAGTTGATAAAGCCAACAAGTGGAGCCCATACAATCCTAGGAAGTTCAGAGGACAAGCATTTAAATATCTACTATGGGCCAGGCACTGTGCTAAGCACTTTATAAATAACAATGCTGGGAAATACTATTATCATCCCCATTGTACAATTGAGGAAGCTGGGGCAAGCATAAGTTAAATGGCTTGCCCAGGGTCACATGGCTATAAAGAATCTGATGCTGGATTTGAACTCACATCTTCCTGACTCTGGGCCCAGTGTTCTATATTAACTCTACCACCTGGCTGCCCCTAGTATGGCAGAATATGCTCCACACACACCTGAGTCAAGCAGCATCAACTGGTTTCTTTGGAAAATGGAGAAAAGAAGTTATCCCTAACACTTGCCAAGGTTCTAGGGCTGGTTCTGACACTTAGTTGTTGTATGATGTTAGTAAGGCACATCCCTCCCCAAGAAGACTCATCTTTCTGCTTGTGTAAAATGTGTGTGCTCGTCAGAGTTTGAAAACTGGCTTAGATGCTTACTAGAAGTCTTCAAGTCAGTTTTCCTATCTGTAAAATGGGGTAATACTTATAGAATCTGCCTAACAGGACTGTTGTGTTGTATAACTCTATAGTGTTATAGAAGTGAAGGCTATTAATAGTGAGAGAAGATACAGCATAGTAAGGAGATCCAGTCCCAGCATGTGATTTCTGGGATAAGATGGTCCTGATTTTCAACATTCATTTCCATGCATACCAGCTGAATTTACATTCTTTGACCTAGAACCTCTGGTTCCCCCCCACCCCCCACTGCTGGCTTGGGGTGAAGGTGCAGGAGATAAAAGTACTAACTCAAAGGTTTAAGCATCAGGAGAGAGAATATTATAGGGATAGAACTCCTGCCCGTTGGTTGTGCTGTTAAGTTTAAAGTCTACTAATCTTTCAAGAATCAGCTAGACTCACCTTCTATCAAGAAATCTCTGAAAGCTAGATTGTAAACTCTCCTTCAACTCAGGGACTGTCTTATTCTTCTCTGCATATCTATCAAGGTTCTTGCCCATAGTGGGAATTCAGGAAATGCTTAAAACACTTCTGGGTCCTCAGGTTGTCCTACACAGACACTAGAATTGGGCATATAGGTTTAAATGGAAACTTTCAAATGAAAACATTTATTAAGTGCCTGCTATGTGTTAGGCACTGTGTTAAGCACAGGGGATACAAAAAGAGACAAAAGACAGTCCCTGCCATCTAGGAGGTTACAATATAATGGGAGAAACAAATACATACAAACAAGCTACATATAGCATAAACAGGAGATAATTAACAGAGGGAAGGCACTAGAATTAAGAGGGTTTATGGTAGGCTTCCAGAAAAAGAAAGGAGTTCAGTTGGAACTTAAAAGGAAGCCACAGAGGTCAGCAGGTGGAGTGGAGGAGGGAGAGCATTCCAGCCATGGGGGACGGCCAGAGAGAATGCCTGGAGCCATGAGATGGAGTGTCTTGTTTGTGAAACAGCCAAGAGGCCAGTGTCACTGGATTGAAGAGTATGTGGCAGGAAGTAAGGTGTAAGAAGACTGGAAAGACAGGTAGAGGCAAGGTTGTGAAGGGCTTTGGATCTCTACTAGCATTTTGTATTTGATCAGGGAGGCAACAGGGAGCCACTGGAGTTTACCAAGTGTGTGTATGTGTGTGTTTGCATATATAACGTGGCCAGACCTGTGCTTTTAAGAATATCACTTTGGTGGCTCATAACTGTCCTCCATCCCCCTACTCAGAACTAAAACCAGTCTAATGGGCATTTTCCTATTTTAGAATTCAAATATGATCTGACCCAGTCCAGCTAAATTGATGGTTCTCACCTTTTTGGGACAGGACACTCACTGACAACTTAATTATGTATCATGAGTCCCTAAAATGCTATGGGCTTCATATTTTAAAAATAAAGATAAATTAAAAGTGAATTGTTTTTGGAATTCGATAACACTCTTCTAAGGAAAGCACAAAAACCCAGATGTAGAATCCACCTCTACAGTGGGTGGCCCACAAATCCTGCTGCTCAAAGTGAACAAAAATTGGCTAAAAATACTCCTGTCCACACAGGGATCAAGTAAGGAATGGAAAGAGTTCAGTTGGAAGGAATGAGACTCTAACCAAAAGCACACAGGGAATTAGATAAGAATCTGCTTAAAATTTAATTGACTAAATGTGTTACATTCAGTATTCCATGTGTTTCTTCTGGACAAAGAATCGGCATAAATACAAACAAGCTTCTGTGCCTTCTCTAACAAAGAGATAAAATACTAGAGAGGAGGGAACAGAGTTCACATCTTCATATTTACATGTTGTCTTTACTTTACAACTTAGTGCCAGAAATATTTACAGAAAATACAATAACAACAAAAAGATCATGTCTTGGCAACATACAGAAGTTCATACAAATTGTATTGTGATTTCAAGCAAATAATAGCTACTGCTTGCTGCCAGCCACAACTACAAAGCCTGAGAAAGATGCCCTCCATTCACTTCTAGAGAAAGTCTTGAAATGTGAAATTTCAAATGACACCCTTTTTTCTTACCATTTAATAAAGAAAATTAGTTCAGGGACACAAGTTGGGAGAGTGACTATTATATGTGAAGCAGACATACTCATCTGCTGAGAAACTGTTTGATTCAATGTTATACGAGTGATATTTCCTAAGATTTGTCTTTGTAGCAGCTCTCTAAATATAGAAAGCATTTAAGATGGTTTAAATGCACAAAACAATACTTTTAGGAAGATATAATCCAGTGCTTAAATGAGACTTGAAATTGTTTTTAAATAGAAAAATTTAATTGCCAGATAGGTAAGTAATGTCAAATTTTCTGACATCACAAAATTACATAATCTGCCATCCAGGTCAGTTGTACTCACCATTCTGAGTAAAATTTAACCTCCCAATAATATTAAGTTATACTGATGCATTTGGGTACTTGAAAAACAGCAAGTACTTCCCAACAAGTGCAAAGAGGTAACAGTTTGTGAAGGCCTCGTATCCTACAGCCAACACATATTATTTACCATTATTAACTACTTTGCATTTCTTGAAAGGGTATTGGTAGAGGAGAGGGATGGACACAACTCCTCAGAATAGAAAATGCTAAAAGGAGAGGCGAAAGAAAAATGTCAAAAATTATACTGTCTACTGTAGGAATGGTAAAGGAAGGAAAGAACAAATAAAATAGACCAAGAGGATAAGTAGCCAAGAGAGGTGTTAAAGTATGGGAAAACTGACCAGTCATCCCTACTCATCTTCATAGCTACTGAATAAACTGCTGCAATAAACTTGTAAGTTTATTCCAAAAGACATCTTAATAGTAATTTACCTTCAGAAAAGTGAGTGGGTGAGAGTGTGTGTGTGTGTGTGTGTGTGTACGTACATACATGAACATGTGCTACAGACGTTGTCCTTAGAACTGAAATTTTGTAACTCTACCGTTATGTTCATGGAACGCACTCATCCTCCAGGGTAAGCCAAACAGTCCATTAGCTACCTGTAGCAAAGTCACATATGGTGACTAAATATATTTTTAAGACAAATATATTATAGATGAAGTAAACTAAAGGAGCTTTTGATGTCCAAAAGTAGTTATTGAGCATATGCAGAAAAATTCAATTATGTGGAATAGTAAAGACTTTTATGTGACAACTGAGCACATGCACTCGCCATGCCATTTAATCAGTGGACTAAATATGCTTCTCACAGGCCATATTAACCAGAGTGATTTGTATATAGTAAAGACAGTGGGTGAGTGTAGTGATCATACACTCCAACCAACACTGTGCTGAAGTCCAGCAATTTTGATCAAAAAGTTCCCCTATGGCTACAACAGTTACTTTTATCAGACCTCTAGGGACTAAGGCAGAATTCACTTCTGTTTTTGCTTATGATGCAGATTTTGGGTTTTTAGATTTTCAGGGGGGTTACTGAGCCCCACTGTTTTCTTTCCACTAACAGCATGCATACAATACTCCTTTTCCACAAACATGACATTCTCCATGGCTTATTCATTTATTTGAGAGGGAAATTATGTAGAAATGCTAGTAAAAAGAAGTGGAGTCAGGAACATTTTCTTTTTCATGAATACAGACTTTCCTGACATTAGCACTTTTGCAAAAATTAAGTTTTATTTGAAGAATATTGGGTAAGAATGACATTAATCAATTACCTTTAAATTTTAGGATTTCAAAAGTTCTAAGACAGTGCTACAGTCTTCTTGACTGATTAAACTGAAAGATAATGCCAGTTTTTCCTTGCAATGTGCAAACCCCTGATGTCCTGTCAAGATTTCACACAAACAGGCAATTAATTTTTATGGCTGAACAAACATTATGTTTCCCTTGCTATATGAGCAATTTGGAAATGTCTAATTCTAGCTTGGCTTGAAAGGAAACAGTCTTTAAAATTGTATTATACTAGTGGGGGGAGGCTGGGTTAGTAAAAAGAAATGACCTGGATGCAAAGGAAGAGTTTAAAAAACAAAACACTGCAGAGCAAACTTGGAAACAAAAGCTATCAGATTCACATTTCTGCCTACAGATGGCAAACTGCATACTTTACTGAATAAGATGAAGTGAACCTGAGCAGGGGAAGGTGTGGGTGGTTAAAAACTAAACTAGACATAAAACCAAACAGAACACTGTATCTACTGACTATGCTTCGTGTAAAAGTGAACAAATTCAACGGAAAGTAGTGTGATCAATTTTCTCTGAATTTGAATTGGTTATTTAAATACCTGAAGATAAAATAATCACCAATAAATAATAAAGGGAAGAAAAGAGGAAGAATACTGTCTTACCCTGCTCTAGGAATCGCTATAAGGATACTTTGAATCCACCTAAAATCCTTCATCATAGGAAGAACAGTAAAAGTCAGGTGGAGAGGGATGTCTAAAATCACAATAGGGATTTTAACGTGTAGCATATCTTCAGATTAGCAAAAGCTAGAACACAAAACAAATGACAAATGAAACAATTTCTGTAGGAACTCAATAACGTAGTTAATAATGCTGAGTACGTTCTTGGATAACAGGCAATTACTTTTTGCAATACAAACTGACTCAGTGAAGTTTAGTTTATACTTTCAAAATTCGTAATTAGACATTCATAGTATACATTTTTCTGTTGGGTCCTGACATAAAAACGGCTCATACATAAAGCCAAATAATTTTCAACAGTAGTTGTGAGCTGAAATTTATTGAAACCACTAAGTAATTTTGTAACATTTCAACTCTTCTCTCCCAGTGTTTTACAAACACTTTTCCTTCTACTGTGCTGAACTGGACACAAGCTGAATGATGAATTTTCACTTGTTTCTCTATGCTGCCGGGAAATGTAGGAGGCGGAACTCCACTCTGGATGTGCTCCTGACAGACTCCTTTCTGTGGTGAATAGGGGTTGTTTTTAGACAGATGGTCTGTATAAATGAGTAGAATGATGGTGACACTGACATATTTGTTATCTTTTTGATACATGAAGATGAATATTTGAAAGTCAGACCTTTAAAAATATCTGCACAAGAGATATTTATGGGTTCTCCTTTTTGTAAAGCTGATGGCAGAATAAGAGGCTAGAATTCTTCTCGCTTTTCTCCCCAGCACAAGCATCTCCAGATTTGGGGAATCAGACCTTCAAGATTCTAGGAGAGGAACCAATTTGGTACTGAATCTCCTGGAAAAATGGGCTGTGTAAGACTATTTCCGACTGCCAGTTTATAAACCACTTTATGTGCTTCTCCCCTTTTCTCGCTGAACACATTTATCAGAGCTGTTTACAGTTTCTCCCGAAATGTACTATTTAAGTAAAACTGTCACTTTAAAAAAGAAAGTTGTATTGGATAAAATTTATACCACTCCATTGAGGGGTTTATGATTGTGTTTGGGAGACCTCCTCTCACCAGAAAGCAGAAAATCTTCTTAAGTTGTATTTAGAATGATGTCTCTTCTGTTTTGGTGATTGAAAGATAAGCTTTTTTTTTTTGGTGGTGGTGGTACTTTTCTTCTCCAGTCAATACTAGTAACATATTTCCATTGTTTCCTCTGGTAGCCACCAATCTCTGATCTAACAGCTGTCTTTGGAGGACCTTGGTTTAAGAATCGCAGTTCTTGAGCCCAACCTCCTGGAAAAGTGAAGTATAAAATTCTGGCTCTAACTGCTTATTTCTGTATTTATTGACAATATCTGTAATCTTCTGTTTTCGTCGCACGTGCGGAGGATTGTAGGAGTCACTTTCTAGTCTCTTTCTTCTACAAATATTTATTACAGTCTGCCTTACTAAGAAACCTTAAAAACAAAAAGAATTTTTAAACAAATGTTAAAAGTCATCTGTGTATATTATCAGAATTAAGCTAAAACATTTTTATTTTGTAAATACCTTTGCAATATTTAATTGTCTGTGACATTTAAATCCTCCTAAGGACTAACACAGCACTTCTGAGATAAAGCTCACTGAATAGAGCAACTAAAAGGGATATAATAAAATCAAAATATCTTCTAATTTCTCTATCAAGTCCTGAGATACAGCTACTCTTATTTAAGAGCTATATTTCCTTAATTATATTTTCCCTTGCTTTCACTCATAGGAAATAGAAAAGCTTAAACACTTCTCTCACTTTACCTTTTTATTAGCAGTAGTAAAAAATAATCATAGCTGTCAGCCCAGCATGATCCCTTTCTCCTTTGCAGTCTATAAAAAGGCAGTGAGAAGAACAATGAATTGGTGGGGTCAGAAGGCCTAAGACCAAGTCCTGGCTTTGCCATTAACTAACTTGTGGAAGCTTGAACAAGTCCCTTGCCCTTATTGGGTCTTAGTTTTTTCTCTGTAAAACATGGAGAGTTGGGAAGGATAAAAACACTATGAGTTGGTATTTTTAAGGTCCATTAGAGCTTTAAAATGCTACGGTCCTATAGTAAAATAAGTTATAATTTTTCATCCTTGGTATTTAAAGTCCTTACCAAGTGCTCTCCTGCTGACAATCATCCCATCCACCAGTGGGATGACCATGTTAAACTTTCCAGTAGCTCCTTGAATTTTTATTCTGAATAATCCAGTTTTTAGAGGGTGGATGAAAATGACAGGAACTTCTTTTTCAAGGGTGGCTGATGATCTTAAAAAGGGAAAAAAGGGAGCAAACTTGTTAAACTAGATAAAACATAGGTGTGTTACAAGTAAGCTTAAAGAAAGGAGTTAGTGTCTTTCCATAACATAGTAACTGCCTACAAGGAGTGATTGGGAGGGTATTAGAAGGCCTTGCCTGCTGGAAACAACTTTCCATGACTTGCTGCCATGGTAGTATGCTTCGCTCTCCCCATTTTTTCCAGCTGGACAAAAAGAACTGATGTATTAATGGTATTATCTTTAGAAAGGGTTTGGTAAAAAAGGAGGTGGGAGTGGGATTCACATGGAGTAAAGGAGGTCTGTTTAAAGATTCTTTCATTAATACTGTTAAGGCAAAAAATAAAAAATCTGGCCTTTCAGGGGAATGGAGCAAATGGGTAATTAGGTTTTAATCAGCAACTGCAGTTTTAACTTAAAGGAAAAGTATGGCACCCCATGTTGGGGAAACACAAAGGAAAGAACCTGGCAGGGAAGGCACCCCCACCCTGAAGTGATGAGGTATCTTGAAGGAGGAGTGTAAAGTGCTAAAGACAAACTTCACAATATTTCTTGGACAGTGTCTCCATACAGAAACATCCCATTAAAGAGGTTTTATTGTCAAAGTGGCCAGATATGTCCCAAATTATCACGAGAAAAATGACATCTCAATGAAAAGGTGCCTTACTTGAAGAAAACCTGGAAAAGATGGGGCAGTTATTTGTGGGATAGAAGGGCTCCTTCATTTTGTAAGGGTTCTTTAAACTCCTCTAAGTTTAAAGCAATCTGATTTACATTTAATTTACACGAACATTTTCAAGACTAAACCTATTACATGAGGTAATGTTACCAATTTGAAGGTTCAAGTCATTTCTTGGTTAGTGCAAGCTAATTTCCTTTTTTTCAATAGGGTGAGTCAAAGTAATAGGCGGTAAAGGGGATTTGGACAAAACATACTTCAAAAGTAAACTCCCATCCAAAAAAAAAAAAAAGATGCCCTTTTACCCAAGTGAAATCCAAACTCTGCCGTTATGGCAACAAAAGCAACACTTTCCCCTGCAAAGCACTTCAACAGCTGAGCATCTCAGGCTCGAAGGGAAGCAAAGGCACAAGAAAGGAATGGTTCCTGTGTGAGCACAACCTACCTCAGAGAAGTGCTGCTGTTCAGAGTTGTTTCTACACCAGTGCTGATCTCTGACATCAGGTCAGAAAGGGGAAAGTTTTCTGGAAGAAATCAGCATTTGATCACAATTATGATTTTGCTACATCTCTGCTTACTTGAAAGTGAGTAAAAACCAGCATGTTTTACTTAGTTCCCTAAACAACAGACAATAACAGAATTTGTACCAGCAAAAAAAGCCTCAAATCAAACTAAACAATAAAACCTCTTATGAGCTTTCCAAGCAAGGTCAAGACAAGCTTAGGTTAATTAATTCATGGCTCCAAATGGGTTATTCAAAAGGGATACTGATGGGATAATCTAACCTTTGGGGACCTCAAAGAGCATCTTTTGAACTTTCCCATAAAATATTGGAAAAGAAATACTGAAAAAGAGCACTGAGCTCAATGGACTCGCTGGTCTGACCAACGTGCATTTGTTATGCTCTTATGTAGTTTATATAACTGTAAGGAGAAAATTATCTACAGTTACAAATGAAAAAGGAAAAAAACCCAAAACTTTTAAACTCTACCATGACTACTTGTTAATGGCCAATCAAGACTCACCTCCCAACCAATATAAGGAGAAAGATTCATAAAAAGAAGTCCCAGGGAAAGCTTATGTAAACTAATACAGAGTGAAGTAAGTAGAACCAAGAAAACAATGTACACAATGAGGACAATGTAAATGGATAGAACACAATGATAATTACCAAGCTTGGCCCCAAAGTGAACTTGCCTTCCTTCCCTGAAAAAAATGGAGGGGCAGGGGAACAAAGAATGTGTAGCCAGTCCTCCACATACTGCCAAATGTGGTGGATGTTGCTTAGTTTTGTTGAACTGTTTATTTCTTTTTTAATCTTTATTTCAAGGGAAGGCTCACTGGGGAGGGGAAGGAGCAGAAGGGATTTGGAAACAAAGGTGATGTTAAAACAAAAGGCATCAGTTATTTTAATAAAGGTTCCATGGGGTAAAGGTGGAAAAAAAGTTTTCCTTCCTTTCTCTTTATGGGGGTTTGAAGAAGAACTGGGGAATTATTTGGAGAGCAACAATTTTAGTTGAAGCATCAATTGTGGCAAGATGAACTTTAAAAAACTGAAAAATTAAAAAATGTTGTTCTTACATCACCTTAATTTCCAAATATAACCCTCTCCTATCCAGAGTGTCACCCTTATAATGAAGAAAAAAATTCAGTAAAACTTACCAACACATTTACTGAATATGTCAGAATAAATAACATTAGGCACCCTAAAATCTTTCACCTCTACAAAGAAAGGGAAAAGGGGCATTTTCTCATCTTTTCTTGAGGGGCAAGCTTGATCATTATTAATTACATGGTATTCAGTTTTGATTTTTTTCCTTTTCATTTTACATTGTTGTAGTATTTAGTATATATTGTTTTCCTGGTTTTGCTTCCTTCACTTCGCATCAGTTCAAATAAAAAGTCTTCCAAGCTTCTCTGAATTGTTCATATTCATCTTTTCTTACAGCAACATATATTCTATTACATTCACACAATAATAATGACAATAACTAACATTACATAACCACTTTAAGGTTGGTCAGGTGTTTTATATGAGTTCATCATTTGAGCCTCACAACAGCCCCATGCAGCAGGTGCTATTATTACCCTCATTTTACAGATGACAAAACTGAGAACAGAGGTCAAATGACGCTGGCAAGTGTCTGAGAGAGGAGCTGAACTCAGGTCTTCTTGACTCTTAAGATCAGCACTCTAGCTGCTATACTACCTAGCTGGCACTAATTATTGCATCATAATTTGTTTAATCATTCCCCACTCAACTGGCATCTAATTTCCAGTTCTTTGTTGCTACATGCGGTGTTTCAATGAATATTTTGATGTCTATCAGATCTTTCTAACTTTGATTTCCCTAGAATACATGTCTTTGAGGGGCATCTCTGAGTGAAATGGACACTTTAAATCACTTAGCATAATTCTAAATCACTTTCCAGAAAGTTTAGACCATTTCACAAGCCCACTAACAATGTATTAGTATACTTGCCTTTCCCATAACTGCTCTAACATGTTTTTCCATCTTTTGACATTTTTATGGTATATGCCTTTAAAACTTCTTACTTCAAGGATCCATCTGAATCCTCTCTCCACCACAACTCCCTGTACAATTTTAATAGAATTTTGTGTATTGCTCCAAACCCCTCGATGCCAGCTTTTGAGGACTGACCTATCCTGCTCTGAGCCTCTGCAGGCTGGCAGGACCTGCCCTAGCTTGTGCTCTGCAAGGATATGTCATCATGAGGCACTGCTTTAACAGAAGCTTTTAAAAAATGTAATGGAAAAATTCCCTAAGTCAGTGTTACTGGTGCTGTGTTGTTACATTTAGACTTACAAGAAAAGTCTGATACTCTTACCTATATCATCATAACGTTCAACCCAGACAACAGACACCTTGGTCTCTGGTCCCATTGGTGGAACAGTTCGGCCCTGAGGCAACTTCTTTAGGCGGGAAGTAGGACTTAACTATAAGTGGGAGAGAAAAGAAAATGAATTACAAAGGAGTCTACTCCTTGATTAATTGGCAAAGTAAAATTTGTTAATAGTGATTCATTTGTAAATAGGAGCAATTTAAGTCAGTATTTATTCATCCTTCTATGTGCAGAAGAAGACTATGCTGGACACTTAGGGTCAATTCAAAGTTTAGCTAAGATATGGTCCCTGCTGTCATGGAGTAGATAGTCTATTAGGGAGAGATGACAAATTCAGATAACTCTAAAATGAAATAATACATAAATATATCAGTGAGATTTAATATAAAGTGCTGACTTAAGAAAGAAACCTAGTTCTATAAGAAGGAAGGTTTGAGAAGAATCTCAACCAATTCCAGGCTCCCAATCAAGACATAATTAGGAGATGGCTGAATCTATTGATAAGCAAATATGTGATTATCTCTTATGTATAAGGCACTGTTTAATGTTGTAAACTATGCAGGAAAACCTATGTTGTAGACTGAAGAGGAGGAAGCAGGGGATATTTGATAAAAAGGACAGTGCCAAGATACTAGCTATAAATATACAATTATTAGTTATAAATCTACAAACGCTTTTAGTGTTTGAAAACATATTAACACATTGCCTTACCTTCTGTGAGGAATTAAGATTGTCTGTATGATTAGGGAAAAGTTCAAGTGTAAGTGATGGTTGTTTTAGTATTCCAGGCAGAAGATCCATATTTGAATCACTTTCTTGGTCTGAGATGTTGCTTTCCACTGAATCAGCTGTGGAGTATGACAATAACAACAACAATAATGATAAATTTGCTAATTTTTTGAGCCAAAAGAGTTAAAAACTACATATGTCAATGACTGCATTAACTTAACCTCCCAAGACAATGTATAAAAAATGCCCATTCATGTATTATTTTTGGAAAATATTTTAAATGGGTCTGTAAAAGAGACAGAGGAAGGTCAGTTTTTGGTAAAATGAAAGCTTCTCAAAAGCCAGGGCTGTTTAATTTTTAAGTCTTTTTATCCTCAGTGCCTAGCACAGTATCTAGCACAACATTAACAGGCGTTTAGTAAATGTTTTCTGAATTGAAAACACGAAATCTTGTTTCAAAGACTTACTTTATTGTTTAAATAACTATAAAATATTAGATATATTCAGAAATACTAGGGCTAAAATAATTCCATAATACATGAATATTAATTCAATCCAATTCACATTTAATGAGTAGTTCCAGTATGCCAGGTAACTGTGCTAGGAGAGGAAAACAAAAGTGTGTGACCCAGAATTTTAAGAGCTTGACAGAATGTTGTAGTCATTTAGGCTACCTCCTCTCATTTTGTTCTCAATGAACAATCTAATGGGACAATGAGACTGACATATGAAATAATCAGGGAACTACAAGACACAATCTAATAATTATGATAATAATGACATAATGGTTTAAGCTTTGTAAAATCCTTTATACATCTTCTCATTTGATTCCCACAACAATCCCTGCAAAGTAGGGCCAGGCCAGACATCCCCATTTTAAGGTGAGAAAACTAAGGCACAGAGGTTAGATAACTTGCCCAAGGATACCCTGGCTTGTTAAGTGGCAGAAGCAGATTTCTGAACCTAAGGCTTCTGACTCCAAATCCAGTGTTCTTTTTACCTCTTCTCTACTCCCTTTATACTCTTTTACTTGGTAATCTCAACAGCTCCGATGGAGTCAATTATCTATGCTGATGATTCTCAAATCTACCTACCCAGCTTTAACCTCTCTCTTGATATCCAGTCTCCCATCTCCAGGTGCCTACTGGAGATTGTGAACTACACGTCCTGTAGACACTTTAAGTTGAACACACCTAAAACTGAATTATCTTTCCTCCCACCAACTCCCCTGCCACTTGTCTCCCTAAGTTCTTGATTACAGTCAAGGGCACCACCACCCTCCCAGTCACTCAGGCTCAAAACCTCAGAGTCGTCCTCAAATCTTCACTGCCTCACCCCCTCCACTCCCTAAATCTAATCTACTGCCAAGGCCTGTGCTGATTTTTTCTTTGTGACACCTCTCAGATATACCCCCTTCTCTCCTCTGACACTAACACCACCCTGATGCCGGTCCTCATCACCTCGTGACTGGACTGTTCCAATAACTGCTGGTGGGTCTACCTGCCTCAAGTCACTTCCCACTCCACTCTATCCTCCAAGGTGATCTTCTGGAAGTACAGTTCTGAACATGTCACCTTCCTCCTCTCTTAATAAACTCCAGTGGTACCCTATCACCTCTGGGGTCAAAAAGAAAATCCTCTGGGATTCAAAGTCCTTCATAACCTGGACTCTACCTTTCTTACACTTCATATCCTCTCTCCCTCCACATTCTCTATAATCCTTCCTTGCTTTTCAAACAAGACCTATCATCTCCCAACTCAGGGCAATTTTACTGGCTGTCTCTCATACCTGGAATGCTCTTTCTCATCTTTGCTTCCTGGCTTTCCTGGATTGCTTTAAGTCCCAGCTAAAATCCCACCTTCCAGAAGAGGTCTTTCCAGATTCCCCTTAATTCTAGTGCCATCTTTCAGTTGACCATTTCCAATTCATCCTGTATATAGCTTGTTTACATGTAATTGTTTACATGCAGTCTCCTCCATTAGACTGTGAGCTCTCTGAGGGAAGGTACTGTCTTTTGCTTTTCTTTATATCCCCAACACTTAGCACAGTGCTTGGTACATAGTAGAAGCTTACTATCAATCTACAAGCATTTATCTAAGCTCAAGGAACTCTGCTAGACACTGAGAAATGAAGACAAGAAAAAAAAACCAAAGTATTTATACTCAAGAAGCATGTTACCCAGCTGGATGAGACTACTATGTTACATAAATGTATATAAATACATATGTACATAGATATGTATAAAACAAATACAAAACACACACCAGGCATTGAGAGGTAGGGGAGGCCCTTTGATAAACTAGAGGGATCAGAAAAGGCTTCCTGTAAAAGGTGGTACCTGAGTTGAACTTTGAAGGAAACTAGGGATTCTAAGGGTTAGAGGCAAAGAGGGAATGTACTTCAGGCATGGAGTTTAGTCAGTACAAAAGCACGAATATGGTAGATGGAATATCATGTATTAAGGAAGAGTAAAAAAGCTAGCTTGGCTGGATTGTACTATGTGGGAAGAGAAATAAGGTGTAATAAGGCTGGGAAGGTAGGTTAATGGTAGGCAACATAGGTCTTTAAATGCCAAAGAAGAGTTTATATTTTATCCTAGAGGTGATAGGGAACCACTGGAGTTGATTGGGTAGGGAATGACATTATCTGATTTTCAACTTAGAGAAATATCTATAGTAGCTGTGTGGAGGAAGAATTAGGGTTGAGAGAGACTTGAAGCAAGGAAGACCAATTAGGAGGCTATTGCATGAATCCAGGCCAGTGATGATGAGGGCCTGACTAGCCTGGTGACCATACAAGTAGGGAGAAGGGGTTGGATGTCAGAGGTGTTGTAATATATCATAGCTAAATCAAGTGGCCCCAATTTGTGGAGCAGACATTACATGATTTAAGAGGTCAAGAAAAGGCAAAACCCTTTTGGGCAAGAGATTTAGGGAAGATTCATAGATGAGATATGTCTTGAGACAGACCTTGAAAGAGGTGATGAGAAGTAGTTACAACACTCTCTAAGATTAACAAACCATGACACACAGTTACAACTACCATGCTACTTTAAGAATACCCTGATTCTTTCTTCTACATTTCCACACTCTTGCCAAGTAAATACCTACTTACCTACTTCTACAAACTTGGCTGGCTAAAACCTAGGATTGATTTTTGTCCTAGCAAGATGGATAAGAAGCTTTGATTACAGTTGTTTGCATGTTGTTGCTCCCATTAGATTGTGACACCCTTGAGGGCAGGTACTGTTTTTTGCCTTTCTTTGTATTCCTTGCGCTATGCTTAGCAAGATGCCTGGTATACAGTAAGTGCTTAATAAATGCCTGTAGAATGATTGGGACAGGAATGTGCTTCAGAACCAAAGTTTCCTTAGAAAAATTGTCTTATATTTGCTCCACTTCTGTCCCTGCAAGTTTGATTCTTATGAATATTCTAATTTCTGCTTTCTAATTAACAAATAAGTAGCAAAATCAGTATTGAATCCAAGTTCCTGGAGAGAAAAGCCAGGAATACATAAGATCAATATACCAGCCTGGAAAAGAATAAGCTTGAGGGTGATTCATAACGTTAGCTAGTCAATAAGCATTTATTAAGCACTTACTATGTGCTAGCTGCTACGCTAAAAGCACTGAAGGCACAAAGAAAGGCAAAAAACAGTCCTTGCCCTCAAGGAACTCACATTCTAATGCAGGGAGACAACACGTAAATATGTACAGAACAGATGGAAGTTAATTTCAGAGGGGGAAGTCAGCAGAGAATGGGAAAGGCTTCTGGCACAAGGTAGGACTTGAGATGAGTCTTGAAGAAAGCTTGGGAAATAAAGAAGCTGAAGGGCGGTAGAGTTTTGAGGAGATGGAAGAGGGAGTGTGGTCTGTTAAAAACAGCAAGCAGGTTGGTGCAGCAGGATGGCAGGGGCCAGGCCGAGAAGAGCTCTAATGAAGACACGCTGAAGAAGTCAGTTTCTCTTCTAAGAACCAGCCTGAGGAGATGAGCGTGACTTTTATGAAGATGGGGATGTCAGCTTCCCACAAAGAAGGGAATGGAGTTTCTATTCCCGGAAATCACTGAGACAATGTGGAAAACACCTTTTCTAAATAACCTAGATTCAGGGGCAGCTAGGTGGTGCAGTGGATAGAGCACCGGCCCTGAAGTCAGGAGGACCTGAGTTCAAATCTAGCCTTAGACCACACACTTGACACTTACTAGCTGTGTGACCCTGGGCAAGTCACTTAACCCCAATTGCCTAAAAATAAAAAAATAAAAATTTTAAAATAAATAAATAAATAAATAGCCTAGATTATTCCATGCCCAAAGCCATGGGATTAGAACAAAAAACATCCTGAACTCTCTATTAACTTGAAGAATGCATGTGAAAAATATGTAAAAAGACCATTTTGGATCAAGTAAAATCATCAAAATTGGAAAACAAGGCTGATCATAAGGAGTTATAAAAAGATAAGGCTTATTTAGTCTGAAATAGGTGAGGTATAACTTCTGGTAAACAGTTATTATAATGATGGTTAAAAATATGAAAGAGACTTTGTTAAAAATTAAGAGGAAAAACAACTATTTTGGATGCTATACATACAATAATACACAGAGGCAGAAGAATGCAGAAAATGTTCTTACTTAAAGATTCCACAGGTGAGGGAACAACAAAAGCCATTTCTGTAAGGGCATCAGCATAATACAACACCTTTTTCTGTCCATTGAAAATACTTGCTCCAATATCTTCACATGGAACTATTTCCTCTAGGAACACAAAATCAAGTGTTATAAGGAGTATACAAGATCAGCAGAATGCCAACTACCTAGCTTCATAACGTTTTATATAGTCACTAAAATTGTACAGTGGTAAAAGGGAAGTCTCTATTCATTACCAGCTTCTGTGTCAGAACATAGTATAAATATTCTAGAAAAGGGTTTTCCATCAACTCTTTAGATCTTGTAATTATAAAAACTAATTTATTTGGTTCTATAACAACTTTCCATATGGTAACTAGCTCTGAGTTAATAAAGCCTTTACTTCAACAGTAGGAGGGAGGTATGGGAGCAGAGGTATCACCCACTGTCTTATTGGGGAGGGAGGAAGAAAGGGAAAGGAAGAGGAAAAGGAGTGAAGGATGGAAGGAGGGAGGAAGAACGAAAGAAGATAGAGAAAAAGGGAGGGAGGGAGGGAGGAAGGAATGAAGGAATGCAGAATGGAAGGAAGGAAGGGACCAGGCTGTGGCAGGGGCCAGGGTTGCCATTTTGAAAGGCATGTGTGTACATGCTATGTTCTCGTGTTATTATTACTTTCAGTAGATGAGCACTGACAGTCCGCTTTTGGTTCCATTTTCTTCCTAGATATCTTGAAAATTTAGTAAACTAAATTAAAATGTTTATGTAATTCTCCTAATAGAAGTTAGGCAGAATAAAGGGCACATTAGATATCATTGCTAAGTTTGAATTAAAAAAAAAATTTGCTTCAAAATCTTAATATTTTTTAGTTGAATAATATAGTTTTACCTTGTTCAGCTATATCGGTATCCCCATGAGTGTTAATAGACCAACTTGTTGAAACATGTCCAGTCCAACCAGCGTGCTTCCCTATATCCACTGACCAGCCAAGAGACAACAAAAATTCTAAGAAATGTGGCTGAACATTTTTGGAAGACTCAGCATTCTTCAGAATCTGAAACACATACCGGGAACAGAAATAATAAAGGAAGAAACCAATTAAATAAATCTGAATTTAAAAATAAAAAATAATTTGATGACTTTTAAAGTGCTTGGTAACTTAAAGTTAGTACCAGTTCATCTTAGTAAATGGTCCTAAATACCATTCCTAAGTTCAAAGAGAAGAACAACTGCAAAGTAGCATGTCTTCTCACTCTGGAAACCCTTTTCCACAATATATATACTATGCAAATTAGGAGGAATACTAAGGTTTTTTTTTTTTTCATTGTCTTTAGCTGCCCAACATGCAAAGGAAGTGATCTGCTGACAAGATGGTGCAGTAAACTATTGGTTCACAAGAATCAAGCAATTACTAATTCAGAACAAAAAGGGGGAAGAGTATTCTGTATGAGCTCTGGGTGCATATTTATTAAAATTTGGTCTTTTTATTTCTTAAGTATCCCTCAAAAATTTTATAAATTCTAAAAAGCCTTGTAATAAACTTCATACAATTTAAATTACATAAGACATGAACCATCCCACAGATATTAATACAAATTTCTTTCATTTTTTTTTTCTTCTCACCAGTTTAATTTCTGAATATCCCATCCCTGTGCTATTTCTTCTCAGCAAAAGTTTGTGTTTTATGCTATTTCCTCTATGATCTGTCAAGGATGTAATCTTTTCTTTCATCTACCTCTTAATTCTAACATTTAAAAATGCTTTCATATTCTCCTTGAGTCTTTTTTCCAAATTTTATTTGATTTCATGTTCTGGGCTCTATCACCTCTATAAGTCTCCTGAATCTGATCCCTCCAAACCTTCTTTATACGCCAGCTTGGTAATCTGGTCCACCTTAAAAAAATAAATTACCACCATGAATACCACCTCCAAAAACAAATAAAGGCAAAACAAGGGATAAAATCTCATCCCAAACCCACAGCCTTTCAACAAGGCAGAATAAATAAAATTAAACATTCAGTAGCATAAGCCAAGCTAACCTTATTTCTTTTTTTGAAAATAGGATTATATAGTCTAATTACTAATAAATTTCTATATGTTAGAGAAAGGGAAACAGTTTCATTTCTACTTTCTGAAGCTTTATTTCAATGTAAACCAAATTAATTTATTTGAATATTCATCTTTCTACTTGAGCAACTTAGGTAGAGAAAATGAAATCTCCAGACAAAAAATATATTCAAATCTTGCCACTAAATAGATAAACAAGCAAATAAACAAACAAACCCCAAGTTTATCTGACTGGCAGTTCAGAGGACATCGAAAGATACTATTTACCTAGCTTTTAGCTAAGTGTTTGATTAACACTCTCATCTATTCTTTCAGACAAGTTGCAAGGATATGGATTAGACAACAGGACAGTTAGAAAGATTCAGAATTAGTTTAGGGTTTGCTAGTAAAAGGCATCAAATGTCCATTCTTGGGCCTGGGCTATTTAAAATTTTTGTCAATAACTAAGATAAAGGCATAGACAGCAGTCTTATTACATTACATTTGGAGATGACTCAAAGCTGGGAGGGATAGGTAATGCATTTAATGAAAGGATCCAAAAAGATCTTGACAGGTTAGACACATTGAGTCAAATCTAAGAAGATAAAATTTGATCAGGATAATATAAGGCAGTCCTACATAGTGAAGAGAGTTCTGGGCTTAGAAAATTCTATGTCTGACCTTGCTGTTCCACCCTGAACAAATCACTTAAGGTCTACACAACTCAGGCAACTCTCCACGACTTATTTATTAAATTGTAGACAGGTTAGATTCTATACAGGGAGGAAGGTAGGGAAGGAGTTTCTCAAGCTAACCAAAACATAGGTCCTTTCCATATATGTAAAGTTTTATGCTTGTGTTCCAAAAAATCAACTTCACAAGTACAAAATGAGGGAGAGAAGGTCACATTTTTGGCATCTGAAAAAACATCTGAAGGTTTTTATGGACTACATAATGTTAATAGTGTGATGTAGCAGCTAAAAAATCTGATGCCCTCTCGTGCTGCACTGGGAAGCACAGTGTTCAGAGCAAAGGTGATGAAAGTCCCTGCTATATTCTGCTCTCATCAGACTACATTTGTAGTACTTTCTTTGCTTCTGGCCATCACATTTTAAGAAGGATATTGATAAACTGGACAGTGCCCAGAAGAAGATAAGACCAAGATGGTGAAGGGCCTCAAGATCATAAGCTACATGATTATTGGTTGAAGAAACTGAGCATAATTAGCCTGTAGAAGAGAGGACGAGAGAGAGGAAAGTGATGACTATTTTCAAATATCTAAATAGCTGTCAATAAGGAAGGGATTAAAGTTGTTTTGCCCAGAGGGCAAAATTAGCAACAGTGGGTAGAAATTTTAAGGGAAATTTTGGGTCACGCTAAGTAAAATTTTTTCTTTTCTTTCTTTTTTTTTTTTTCAACAAAAATAGAATGGGCTGCCTTAGGAGGTAGTAAATTACATCTCTATATAAGTTGGACTAGATGGTCTCTGAAGTCCTTTCCAATTTGGATCTGGTAATTCTAAAAAGAAAATGTTCTTGTGTTCTCCTCCAAAATGGCCCAAAGCATTGCCATCTTTTGGCTTTTTTCTCCCTCCTCTTGTGTTTCTTAAAAAAACAACACAAAACAAAACAAAACAAAAAAACCAGTAGGAGGTGGAGCCAAGACGGTAGAGAGAAGCCAGAAAGTTGCCTGTGCTTTTCCTAGTTTCCTTCTGAAACAACATTAAATCAAGTCTCTAAAAAGATTCTGGAGTGACAGAATTCACAAAAAGACAGAACGAAACAATTTTCCAGTCCAATTTAACTTAGAAGGACTTCAGGAAAGGTCTGTCTTACTTGGACAGAAGTGGAGCACAGCCCAGTACATGTGGTATCTGGGCAAGCCAGCAGGAGGCTCTCAGCTACTGCATAGATTAGCAACTGAGGGTCCATGGTTCTGGCTCAGCTGGTCAGTGGCATAGCAGGCCATCTGTAAGACCTCCAGTCCCAGTGCAGCAGACAAACTGCCAGCTCTGGAACCCCGGGCACAATAGGTACGACTAGGCTAGACCACCCTAGCACAGTGGGCAAGCCACCAGCCCGACAGGCTCTAGCACAGATAACCAGTGACCAGGCCCTTACCCCTCACTGCAAGAAGCTTGGGACAGTGCCCCCAGGAGCAGAGCTCAATCTTTTAAAATGAGCAAAAAACAAAAAAGAGCCTGACCACAGAAAGCTACTATGGCGATAGAGAAGATCTAAATACAAACTCAGAAAAGGACAACAATGTCAAAATGCCTACATGCAAAGCCTCAAAGAGGAATATGAATTGGTCTCAAGCCCAAAAAGTCCTCTTGTAAGAGCACAAAAAGGATTTTAAAAATCAAGTAAGAGAGGCAGAAGAAAAATTAGAGAAGGAAATGAGAGTTATGCAAGAGAATTATAAAAAAAAGAGTCAACAACATGGAAGAGGAAGCACAAAAATTGACTGAAGAAAACAACTCCTTAAAAAATAGAATTAGCCAAATGGAAAAGGAGGTACAAAAGGTAAATGAAGAAAATAATACATTAAAAGTTAGAACTGGGCAAGTGGAAACTAATGATTCTATGAGACATCAAGAATCAAACAAACTAAATCAAAAGAATGAAAAAATAGAAGAAAATATTAAAAACACCTCATTGGAAAAACAACTGACCTGGGAAATAGATCCAAGAGAGATAATTAAAGAATTATTGAACTACCTGAAAGCCATGATTAAAAAAAAAAAAAAAAGCCTGGACAGCATCTTTCAAGAAATTAACAAAGAAAACTGCCCTGATATCCTAAAACCAGAGGGTAAAATAGTCATCGAAGGAATCCATTGATCATCTCCTGAAAGAAATCCTAAAATGAAAACTCCAAGGAATATTATAGCCAAATTCCAGAACTATCAGGTCAAAGAGCAAATACCACAAGAAGCCAGAAAGAAACAATTCAAATAACAAGGAGCCACAATCAGTATTACATAGGATTTAGCAGCTTCTACATTAAAGGATCAGAAGGTTTGGAATATGATATTCTGGAAGGCAAAAGAACTTGGATTACAACCAAGAATCAACTACCTAGCAAAACTGAGTATAATCTTTTAGGGGAAAAATGGATATTAAATGAAATATAGTACTTTCAAATTTTCCTGATGAAAAAACTAGAGTAAAGGTAAAAAGCTGGAGCAGAACACTTCAGCTGAAGTAAAAAAAGCAGAGGTAGCAATCCTGATCTCAGACAAAGCAAAAGCAAAAATTGATCTAATTAAAAGAGACAAGGAAGGAAACTATATCTTGCTAAAAGGTACCACAGAATATGAAGTAATATCAATACTAAACATATAAGCACCAAGTGGTATAGTATCCAAATTCTTAGAGAAGTTAAGTGAGTTACAGGAAGAAATAGACAGTAAAACTATACTAGTGGGGGACCTCAACCTCTCTGGAGAGAACTGAATGGGGACAGAATGGAATATACCTTTTTCTCAGTGGTACACGGCACCTACACAAAAATTGACCATGTATTAGGGCACAAAAACCTCATAATCTAATGCAGAAAGGCAGAAATATTAAATGCATACTTTTCAGATCATGATATAATAAAAATTACATGTAATAAAAGGCCAGGGAAAGGTAGATTAAAAATTGATCAGAAACTAAATAATCTAATCCTAAAGAATTAGTGGGTAAAATTACAAATCAGAAACAATAATTTCATCAAAGAGAATGACAATAATAAGAAAACAGCAAAATTTATGGGACACAGCCAAAGCAGTATTTAGGGGAAATTTTACATCTCTAAATGTTTATGTGAATAAAACAGAGAAAGAGCAGATCAATAATTAGGTGTGCAACTAAAAAAGCTAGAAAAAGAACAAATTAAAAATTCTTAATTAAATACCAAATTAGAAATTCTGAAAATCAAAGGAGAGATTAATAAAATTGAAAGTAAGAAAACTATTGAACTAATAAATAAAACTAAGAGCTGGTTTCATGAAAAAACCAA